TTAACCTAATGATTCTCTTTTAAGTTTCTCCCATGAAAAAGAAATCTTAATGCTCTTGAACAAAAATATTTTAGAGCTATTAATATGAATTGTGTTGGTGGGTATTCTTGCACAAAGGATTAGAAACTTTTAAATTCTTTAAAGCTATCTTAACTGCAACTACAAAGAATCACCATTCTGAATCTGAATAGCATTGACAGTGGTTTTTTGCAGTCATGTTTTTGGTATTGTAGTGATACAGTGGTAATAAGCTCTGACTCAGAACTGAGTTCAGTGATCTGTTTGGACCGAAGGAAATGTGCATTGAGAGTGCTTTCCCCATTAGGAGGAATGTGTATTTCCTCAGAAATTAAGACTAGTCACGAAAATGTATTGTGATAGCCAAACAAATAACGTTAAAATATTTGTCTCTTAGGGAAGTATTTACTTTTTTTTTAACCCTGAAGACAATTTTTCTTGGGTACTATTTCTACATGACAGTTGCATGCTTGTGTAATGTGTTACAGTCTGTGTTTACTGTAATATTACAGTATCTAATTTTGTTAGCACTAGCAGCCAAAAGTAGTAATGTGATTTTGGCTCTTCATAATAGCATTTTTCTTTCTTTTCAGAGCAAACTTGATGATTACCAGGAACGAATGAACAAGGGAGAACGTCTGAATCAAGATCAGCTGGTAAAAAAAAAAACAACAAACCAATCAGATCTCTGTTAAATTGTTTTGTGATCTTAGGGGAGAAGGAAGGGATGAATTTCACTTTCCCTGTCCCCTTGTTAAAAGCTAGATTTTTCTGAGCTCTGACTTGGCCTCAGTCTTTTATTGCCTGGATCGTCTCAATTTTTCTGTTAATCAAAACCTGAAAGAATAGGTAGAGGAGCGTGTTGTAATGCTTGATGCTTGTTAAGTTTAGGTCGTAAATAAGCTGTGGTGAAAATTGGCATACGTTATGACCTAGGACTGTTGAAAGAACTATATGGTACCTTTGAGGTTCTCTGGACATCATCCTTTTCTTTGCAGAAAATGCACCCAGGAAGAACTTAAGGAGCTTGGTCACTTGGTGGTAGCTTGTAAATACTGTGCAGTCTAGTTAGAGATGTAGCTTAGACCAAGGGCTCTGAAAATAAACTATGTCCACGTGTGTATCACAGCTATCAGTGCAGCAGATGTGACTCTCTAGAAAAGCTGAACTTAGTGGATGTATGCTGCTTCTCTCCTTTTTGGGGCTGGTTCTTAAAAAAGGTTATTGTAGAGCTTGACTCCCCAGCGATTTTCCAGTTGTAGTAAATACAAGGCAAGTATCAAATTAAATTCAGTTGTGTGATGCAAACATGCATATTGATACTTAAAGAGATTACCAGATGCTTAGTAATCAACAATGTTTTGCTGATGATTTTTAACATTGAAAAAAGTGAAGGGAAATAAAATCTGCCCTGCAACTGTTGCAGCTGTTCACAATTAAAAGAATTAGCTGCTTCCCTTGGTCTATGTGATCTTTTCATCTGTCTAGGCTTCACTTTAGTTCTTCTGTGCCAGCTGAAATATCACTGATCTGTGTATTTTTATTTTTTAATGGCATATTGTGAAAATAAACCATGTTAAGTTTGAGCAGGGAAGATAACTGAAATTTTGTATTGAGAAGGGAAGCTCACAATTGAGTTTTATGAAGACCACAGCCTGACTACCAGAGTTCATAGAGATAAAATCTTCTTTGGAGAAGTGCTGAAAGTATTGATTATTTTCACTTATGTCTTCTGCTTCTACGAATCAACTAAGAATGATGGATTTTATGAATTGCCTAATGTGTATATGTATGTAATATATGTAAGTTTCTTAGCCGTATTACAAATGGAAATCCTTAAAAAAAAAAAAAGGCAAATACAGTTCATGTTCCTTGCTTTTCAAAGAAAGTAGGACGTTACCTTTTCTTTGGCTCAGTTGTTCTTTCCAAGAACATAGCCATTATTAGTTTTGTTACAGCAGGAGTGTAAATGTCTCAGCTGGTTTACCCCCCGCCCCCCGATTTGATTGTCTGTAATTTCTCAGTAGTGCAAAGTGGGTTAAGGAGTTTGGATTGCTTTGGTGCAAATCAGAATATTAGATTTAAGAAAACAGCAAATAATAAAGATTTCTGAAGAAGGGAACATTATGCTATGTATAGCATTTTGATTTTGGCTATGACTCAAGATAACAATGCATTAATTCTCAAACCTTTATCTGTTGAGCAGTTTTGCCGGATTACTTTTCTTCCCCATTCCCCTGGCCTGCCAGTTAGTTTTTGTCAGAAACTGGCTAAAGCCAAATATTAAACTAGTATGTCACACACATGAGCATATATACGCATATGCTTTAACATTATTTGTCTAAGAAACTAGAGGCCCTAAAGACATACACAAGTCTCTTCAATATTTTGGCCACTGAAAATCAAAATTTGACTTCATGTTGTTGCAGTCCCATTCAGGGATGCTGTGTCTCACTTAGTAACTAAAAATGTGGGAATTTATTTGTTGGACGCATGCTTGTTGTTCTGTTTGTGATGGTTTACTTCTATGTTTTCTTCTTTTTTTTTTTTTTCTTTTTTAAGGATGCGGTGTCAAAATACCAGGAAGTGACAAATAATCTGGAATTTGCTAAAGAACTGCAGCGGAGTTTTATGGCTTTGAGCCAAGACGTAAGTAAAGAGCAAGTGGTGCAATGTGGGCTATCCAAACACTTCGGCTTTAAACTCCTTTTCACTGATAAGCGGTGCAGTAGTCACCTCTATTTACAGAATTAACTACTCAGGATTTCTTGTATTTTGACTGTTTTCTTTTACTTTATGTACTAGTTTGTGTAAGGTTTTCTGAAGACTATTCCTAAAAGATTTTTCTGATAGACTACATAAATGTATGGGAACAAAAATGTTGTGGTGATTTTCTGACAAAACATAACTGTTGAAACAGTGTGATCACAAAACAGGCCTGTTACACAACATTGTAGACAGCCACTTAGTGCCAATAGTAGCATTTTCTTAAGACAGTTTCACAGACCTCCTTCTCTCTTTGGCAGGTGGCTGTGGGTTTTAATTTCTTTATATTACCATAGGATATAAAGTCTCAGCAACTGAAAGCATTGCAATTCCTTTTTCAGAGTTCTTGCTGTCTTGTTAATTGCAAATACAGTCTGAAACTACAGTATAAAACAAAATTAATATTATTTTCATAAACTATAACTTAACTGAATACTAGTAAAACAGGTGATCTTTTGAGTTGGTATTTTATCAAGGATGTAAACAGTGTAATCAAGAATAAGTTCTAAAACTCTGTTAGAGTTGTTATAGCTGGAATTGTCTGTTACAGTTACATGAACAGCTTTCTTTTTTGTGCCAAGAGCTGCAAGCAAAATAGACCTCTGCAGTATCATTGTAAGGAAGAATTCGTTCTGGGGCAAGCTGAAAGCATAACCCATTCTACAGGACTGGAAGATTCTAAATGCAGTAATAGAGTTAGTTAATGAGTTATGGGAAGAGCAGCAACATTGGTGGAACTCATTGTGTAGTCGATGTTACTGCAGCAGACTGGTCTAATGAGTGTATTTAGTTTGTGAACAGACTATGTGATAATTTGAAGGGCATCAGCATCCTCATGTTATAAACTGCTTTTTACATTTGATGTGGTTGTGAATTTGTAGGCCTCCAAGCTGTTTCTTTGCTTTTCTTGCATCAGGGTTCTATGTATGTTTCTGGAATGTTACTAATGAAGAACTTTCTTCTTTGGACAAGTTTGTCCTGAAATGTTTCCCTGGTCAGCTGACTACTAAAAGAAGGGGGTGAATCCAGGAGTAGTAAATTGGCACTCTGCTTCGAAACTTCGTTACAGTTTTTCCCGGTTGGAGTTAGTTCTCATGCAGTTGATTTTAAGATACGTCTTTAATTTTGAAAAGAAGATTAGATGCTTCTGAGGGAGAAAGTTACTGTCACGAGTTATGTTTTTTGTAAGTGAATTTTAAAGTTTTATGTAGTTACAAAGTGAGCAAGCTGAATTTTGAGTGCTAGATGCTTGAATTAAGAGTAAGAATGGAGGAAATGTCCTGTAGGTTCAGACTAGTGATGCATTTAGAGCAGTATTATGACAGCAGTTGTAGAAGGTACTATGCAGAGTACAAGGCTGATGATTATCTGTCATCCATTCCCTTCCAGCATCTGTGATCCTCAAACTGAGAATGTTAGAGAGTAGATGCATTCCTGTTCCCTTTAGTGTCTGTCAGTGGACCTTGTGTCCAAGAATTTGTTCAAATCCTTTTTGAAGTTGCTAATACTGTCTGTCTCCCCAGCCTTTATGGCAAAACATTCTGTCAGTTCCCTTCCATGGTGTGCAAGAAACAAGAGTACTTTTGTTTATCTATTTTAAGCTGATCTCCTAGTAGTTTCAGTGAATGCCTCCTACTATTGTGGGGTATGGTGAATAACCACTCTGTTCATGTTATCTGCTGGCCTTTGTGGCTTTTATGAAAAATCTGGATCACCCTTACTCCTCCAAATTGAAGAACCCGAGACTTAGGCTCTGCTCATAAAGGCAGCTACTCTGTCTCCTTAATCATTTGAGTTGTGCTTCTCTGTACCTTTTCTAATCGCTGTAAGTCCTCCTTGAGTTATGGAACCCAGAAGTTGTAAATGGCCACAGTATTTGTTTAAAAGGTACTTAATTTTGTATGTTTTTGCCATTTCCATCTACATCAAAATCACTTAGTGTTTACAGAATAATTCATAAGGGAAGCAGATAATAGCAAGCTGGCCTTGTTTCAAGTAACACATTTGTGTCTAAAGCTTTAGACATGGTAACTGCAGTTACTTGACTGAACTGCTTTTAATTCATGCAGAGAGGTACAGGCTTCAAGTAAGAATATGATCAAGATCCAATATGATGCAAAGTTTGTGGCATTGATTTTAAAGTTTGTCTTAATTTGCAGGCTTTTGACTCTGCTTAAAAGATACTCTTCAAATCTCACAGGTTGTTCTGCTATAACATTAGATTGATAAGTGGCAGTTCAACACCAAAATCCACCTCTACTTATCAATAAAAGACATTTCAAATCTGTTTTTTTCCCGTGTTCACTACAGCATCCAAGTTTAAGCCATTTAAAATTTCTTTTCATTTTAAACAGATCCAGAAAACAATAAAAAAGACAGCTCGCAGGGAGCAGCTGATGCGAGAAGAAGCTGAGCAGAAGCGTTTAAAGACTGTGCTAGAGCTACAGTTTATTTTGGACAAGTTGGGGGATGATGAAGTGCGCAATGACTTGAAACAAGGATCAAATGGAGTACCAGTGCTGACAGAGGAGGAACTGACAATGCTGGATGAGTTTTACAAGCTAGTTTACCCCGAACGAGACATGAGCATGAGGTAGGCTTACAGTGAAGTACTTTTCTTTATAATTGTCAGTCAGTTAACAATGTATTTGTACTGTGGTAATTTAAAGACTTGGTAAGAAATTAACTGTTATTATTTTTTTAAGGTTGAATGAGCAGTATGAACAAGCGTCTGTTCACCTCTGGGACTTACTGGAAGGGAAGGAAAAACCAGTTTGTGGAACAACCTGTAAGCATAGTCTCTGTATTAAGAGATAGCACGCTGAATTTGTACTTGAACTAAAATACAGTGTCTGATACAAGAATTCTGGCAGTTAATTGTCTTTGCAAGTTCTTAGAATAGCTACTTGTTGGCAGACCGTAGCTGGGCTGTAACAGAATAACTTACTGAAGTGTGAAGTTACTCTGTAGATGCTTTTTTGGTTTGTGTTTGTTTGGTTTTGTTATTTTGTTTTGGTTTTTTTTAGCTGATGCAGCATTACTCTGTATTTA